TTTTAACAACAAAAATAGCAAAATAACAACTACACCACACAATATGAAAATTACAAGTTTTAATTTTTATAATAACAAGTTATGAGCATGAGAAATTTCTAAGTGCTCGTAGATAAGCTTGCAAGTTGAAACCAAAACAAAAAAAGTTAAATAATAAATGCACATATAAAAATCTACGCCTATCAATTTTCATGATATATCCTTTGTAAAATAACACATTCCTTTCATATCCATGTCCACACACTCAGCTGCTCGAGCATGTGATTTTTTTCATGTCTGCAACTTGTTATTATAAACATTGAAAGTTATAAATGTTTATATGTATTATCGTTATTTAGCTACTTTCTGTGGTTAAAATATGTGTTTTGACTTGTAAATTTATCTATGAGCACTTGTAAACATTTTATGTTCACAATTTTCATAATAAAAATTAAGAGATGTAAATTTTCATATGCAGTATTGTTATTTAACTGTTTTCTTGTTAAAATGCATATTTCAAATTTTTTGCAAACTTCCTTATAATCACTTGTGAATTCCTCATCTTCATATCTTGTTATTGTAAAAGTTGAAAGCTGTAAATTTTCATATTTGCAATTGTTATTTAACTATTTTTTGTTGTTAGAATGTATATTTTAACTTGTAAACTTACCATGAGCTTGTTAAAATGTTTAGGGGCAACATAGTTATTTTTCTCTCAAAGTTAATTTCATTTTAGGCCAAAGAGGCTGAAATAAAATTTCAGATTGTTTTGGGCTTAATTGAAAATTAAATTCTGATTATGAGACTTAAATGAAATATTCTCAAAAAAAAATTATAATCATATAAAAATCATCCTAAAACATTAAGATAACCTAGACCAAGTTGGACTAGTCCAAGTGTCTAACCATTTGGTTTTGAAGTCAGTCTAGCCTGACTATCTAGTCTTGTCCATTTTTTTCACATTGTTTATGTGAATTGGACGGGACCATTTCAAGTTAGACTAGACTAGATAGGACCATTCGTTTTTTAACACCCCTAACAAATATAACATGAGCTTCCTCCTCCTCCTCCTCCAACACCAAAAAAATCAAAGCTCACATTCTTCTTTGTATTCTGGCTTATTACTAATTTCATGCATGTTTTGCTTCTGCATGTGCACTTGTTTTACATATTAGTTGTACTGTTGCACTCTTCAGAAACGTCACTTCTTCATTAGTGGCTAAAATAAACAAAACCCTACTCCGTATAAACCCTAGTCCGTATATACCCCCCCCCAAAAAAAACCAAAAACAACAAACACAAATTCAAGGAATAATAAGAATCAATATTATGAAGAGCGCTATAAAAATTAATTATAATCAGACTGAAGTACCTAAATAAGGAAAAAGTATATGCGATTTAACTATATATTAGGCAAATCAATTTGCAATATGTAGAAGATGAATATTAGAAGAATAACACGGGAGCTGTATTATTGAGTGGCCTTGTTGAACATCTGAGTTTTCTTTTGTTTGAAAAAAAAAAATTTACTCTTTTTTTTTTATGATACAAATTTTGTTTGAAAAAAATATAAATTTACTCTTTGTGTGTGTGTGTGTAAGAATAATTGTGGTGAGGTGTATGTACGTGGAGTGGAACATATGCAATGATTTGGGTAAAGCGGGGGGGTTGAAGAAATCATAAACACTGTAGTGCAGATGTAGCGTGTAAGAAAACCGCCCAGAAGTACGAGAGCCTGACTTCAAACGTACCATTTCCTGCAACATTTTGCAGACACTTTGCAATGGATAGTACATACATATATATATATATATGTACTCCCTCTCCTTCTTTCTCTCTCTTTCTCGGTCTAACACACACACTCATATATATAAAAATGAGGAGGACATGCATGGCTGTGTTGGTAAGCAAGAGAAAGCGAGGAAGCTGACTGTATCTGATATCACACAGCCACAGCTACGCCATATATATGAAACAAAAGGCATAGTTTTTTTTTTTTTTAATTTAAAAGGAAGGCAGGCATTGATGATATAGAGTTACAAACAGGACTGAACCATAATCTCCTACTTACTAGTAGGCAGCATTAATGTCACAACGCTAAGGCCTTTGGCCAAGGGCATAGGTTTTTTGGATTCTCATTCATTCATTAAATAACGTGTCTCTCCGCCATTCTCTCTCAACCTGAACTGGTAGATTTATATAAAACATATATATATATATATTCTTTCTGTTCCAAATATAAAATCCGTATATATATATATTTAGGACCGGAGGGGCATATATCTATATATATAGACACGCAAGGAGTCATCAGGTGGGTTACGTTTCTGTTAGGTTAGGTATCACAAGTAACTGAAAAAGACACAGACTGAGACTTTTGTTGTCAGCCCCAAAACACATAGTTCAAACTCAACAGTACTCTTCCGCAAAATCTTGTGTATTTCCGGTTTGTTTGGTGGTTGGTTGGTTACATATGTTGCTGATAATTTTAATTGTGAAATTCAAGAAAACATAAATAAACCTGATCGCGCGTTACCAATGGACATTGGGTATTGTTGTTATTGTTCTTGGCACTCATTCGCGTGCTCAATGTAAAGACTACATGATCAATTTATAGATATTAAGAAAATTTAATTAAGTTAGTTTGGATTTGAAAATTTAATTTAGGTAGTTATCTATAACAAATGTGTGTTTGTTTGCTTAAAATACCCACTTTAATGCATTATCCCAATTGATGAAAATTTCCTTTAATTTATAATTTTTTTTTCAAATTATCCTTACAACTTAATCATATTCAATAAGTTGGAAGATTGAATTTTCAACATGGTTTCCCCCAACTTTGTGAAAAAACCATGATGATTAACAATCAACTTAACATGCAAATATTTATAATTTGAAAAGAAACTTATAAATGGTTCCTTAAACAGGACTTATCTATAAGTAAGTTTCACATATTTGCTAAATTATTATGAAGTTTCAAGGGACTTATTAAGTGTAAATTAAATTTTTTACATCATTTTTTGCGTTTTAGAAACAGGAGACAAAGAGAGAGATTGAACCGCGTTCTTAATGAGTAAAGGCCCGTAAAACCAGAGGAGGCCCAATAACAGTGTTTACCTACCATTTGGGCCTTGGACTCTTTTTGCTGGGCTTCACAAAAATGAATTAATCCCAAAAACACAAATCAAAAAAGTGATTGTAACCAAGAATATAGCAGAAATGGTTAATCTCTCGTGAAGAATCAAAATTTGAATCACTGATAAGGATTAGGTCTAGCAGAAAGGGTTAGTCCCTTACAATGTGACGAACTAATGTTCGAATCTCTGTTGGGAGAGGGCCTACATTTAGTGTCCGATAATGCTTTGAATAGAATTGCCTTCAATAGGAGGATACTTATGCTTTAGTCCAAAAAAAATTGAATTCCTATTAAAAGATATGCCTATATTTAGTATCCAAAAATACCTCGGATATGATTAGTTCTAATAGGAAGATCTTACATAGCAAAAAAAAAAAAACAGGGGGGGATTTAATATTCGTAGAGTTTAAGTTAGTATATATAATCATTTAACTAATTTGATTAAATAAAGTTAGGTAAGTTAGAATTTAGAGGATTAATAAATTTTAATAATTTACATTATTGATCTATTTTGAAAATTGATAAATCATGGGTATTTATAATATTACTATATTTATACATTTTAATCGATGTTATTACTAAAATTAGGGTATTTATTATTAAATTTTAAAATTTACGATGATGATCATTGTTTTGTACATCATATGTGCATTACAGACATACATTTTCGGCATAAACGTTCACATGATAAAATTTCAAGAACAGAATTTTTCCCCACTATTTTGGTACTTTGGCCTTTGTTTTTCCAAACGAAGTCTTAACTTTGAGTCTCATGTATGGATAAAATTGTGAATAAGAGAGCTTTGCATTCATGTGATCTAAACCCATCTCCATTTGAACTGGTTGAAACTTAATGTAACTTCAGAAACCTATTGGTTTTTTAAAAAAAATATAAAATAATAAATTTGAACCTATTGCTATTTTTAAAAAAATAAAAAAATAAATTTTTCTCTCCTTGTTTTTGGGGAAAAACCTCCATATATCCTTTCTACTCCTTGCCAATTAGTTTTCAGTAATTGACCCCAATTTGCAGGTATGGTTTCCTTATGCTACAGAAAATGCTGTGACTCTAGGAATACTGGAATACCTCTCACCCTTCATCTTCTTGAACATCCCTGTACATTTTTTGTCTGTCGTCATTTCACGTCCTCAACACTTAAGCATTTATTTTTCATACGAGAAATATGGAGAAAACAAAAGGCAGCCAGCAGAAAACTTAATGATTTTTTGTGACAGAAGAAAATTAAAGAATATGCTATTTAACAATTATATACAAACAGTAATAAAGTTTGAACAACAAAAACCCAAAATGAAAATTTTGCATTACCATTGATGTCCACCCTACAATACAAGTATACCAAGTTACAATTAAAGTGACTAAACAATGAAGGCTACCAAAATGAGAAGAAAACTTGCGTTATTAAAAAAAGAAGAAAAACAAGGAAGAAAACTTGCGTTATTAAAATGTCATCGGAAAAAAAAGAAGAAGAAGAAGAAAAAAAAGGCCCCCACTGAAACCACGACTTATTCAGCAGGGGAGATTTCCTCAGAATAGTCATATGATACAAACTATACATAATCATATGCTAGCAACTCATTCCTATAATTCTATAATAAGTCTCCATTCATATTAAATATCCAGATGAGAATATGCTCAGGTTTTCTGAGATTCAAGGTCTCCATGATTCCTCTCCAGCATCGTTATGTCTCTGTTCACACCAATGGGGATTTGAAGTTTTGGTTGCTTGGCCCATTGCACGTTATCCAGAGCAGTCCAAGAACATTGAGGAGAAATTCTTAGAGCAGAATTCTAATAATAAATTGGTATATCAAACTAATCATTGATAGACAAGCAAGCATATCACAAGTAAACTCCAATGGAAGTGTATTAACAAGCGCACGTCTATAAATGATTGATTTGACAACCAAGCTTTCATCATCTGGATCTGTGGAGAATTTCTCCCATTTGATTTTTAGTCAAAACCCACAGCAGCCAGGTGAGGAAATCAAAGTATCACCCATTTAGTCAATTAACACAGCCTAGCTTGACCGGGATTGAGAAGAGATTCTGACATAGTCCAACCCTGCAAGAGAATAGGTTACACATGTAACTTAGCATTGCATTAAGTAATTGTCCATGAAGAGAATAAGCATTCAATAGTGACGCTGGGAATGAATCTTAAGTATTCATACCATTGATACTTCTAATAAAGTATAGTGGTGGCTGTACCTCCTAAATACGGAGCCAGCCACATTCAATGTGGTGAGATTTAAAAGGTTGTAGAGGTCAACTGAGATGTGATTTATACTACCTCCGGTCCTACAATTAGGACCGGAAGGTAGTATTATAAAACTCTTCATTGCAACTACATGAAAGGCCATCTATACTTGACAGGCATGCCAAATTATTTACTTCACAGTCGTCTATTCACCCACTCAAAATTAAGGGATAGACAAATAAAATTAGAAAATATCATGCCCTATCATGCGTTCATACCATGGGAATCACCTAATACAACAATCCAAGAGCTAGAAGTTCAAACTAAATTTTAATAGAGAAAAAACGATAGACCTGTAATTATTACTTCTCCTTTCACCATCCCAATCCCTTTCCCAATAAACATAGAAAGAAAAACCATCTCTTACTAACCAGGTAAATCGAACCAAAACAGTGTCAACCATATATCCACTGATTCAAGGCCTCAATAGGAGCCAGTAAACTAGAATAATTGAAGATAAGCTCCTATACTTTTGAAGCAGAAAACAAGATATGATGTTTAAAAATAGATTAAATAAAAAAAATCTGTCTCCACTTGCCTGCTCCTCAGCTTTATTCTTAAATTGCCCATAACAATTTGACACTGTCTTGCATGACTCAGCAATACAAGCTTTGAGGTAAGCAATGTTGAGCATCTCATCTGAGTTTGGATCCTCCCTGTGCTTCCAAGAAGAGACCTTACTTGAATTTGACGATTTTATAAAGTGTAAAAGGACATGAGCCTGCAAAATGAGGGGATTCAAGTTCAAGACCTTCTAAGGAAGAAAAAATTCCTAAACTATTCTGATAAATGTGCAAGATAGCAATATGTCTCACATGAAATGCTGCTTTTAGAATATCGTCTGACTTCGCCTGACCCTTAAGAAGTGCATACACTTTACTCTTTGAAGGGTTATACGTCACAAGATACCTCTCTTCCTGTTACCAATTGAAAGAAATCATAAATGCATGATGATTGCCAATGAGTCAATATATAGACTTGTAACAGAAGATCCAAAACATGCATCCACTCAAAGGAACATACTTCAAACAGAGGCGTTATGGCCACATATGCACTCGGATCTTGGAATGCATCCTTGAATCTGGATCCTGCAAAAATTTAAAAAACAAATATTAGAATACTTGTTTTAGAGAAAAAGAGACTATAATTAGCAAATATCAATCTTCCAGTCCATTTCTGTACCAAGGACAACAGGCTTCTCTTTCCATGGAAAACTGAATATGTTCTCATTCATATTACCCTCCTGCAAAGCAGGTACTCGCCCTGAAATGTTACAGCTCAATTAATATATGGATAAAGCAGATGATGCTACGATATTTCAGAGAAAACTACTGCTGTTTGTGTGGGTTGGGGATTGGTGGGGATGCATTTCAGATGGTCATGCATCAAAGGTGATCTTATTGTACCTGTCCTGAGGAAGGACTCTACTGCCACACTAAATCTGGCCCTGTTCAGTGTGTGCAAAACCACAGATCTTACCTATTAATGCAATAAGCATAAGAAACACAGATACCAGATTGGAAGCACAAAACATATGTAAGAATCATCTTAAAAAAATCAAACCTCTTTATAAGAGCTTAGCACATATCCACAAGAAAGGAAGGCAAATGAGGATAGTAGAGAAGGATTTTTTTTGCTCATCAATATGCCAAGTCCAGTTCCTATCTGCAAATACAAGAGAAGAAGGAAAAGGAGACTCATTATATAATTTTATCATAAGGTGGTAAATTCAGATGTAAAGTTTCATAAGATAAGAATCTTACAGAAGATTATAATCGCTAGCATAAAATTGTTACTGCATTATTTTTTTGGGTTAAGGTATAAATTTACCCTGGAAGTTTTCTCAGGAGCACTAGGCACCCAGAGTTTTTTTTTAACGCAAATTTGCCTGAAAAAGTTTAAAATTATAGCAATATTGCTCCCTACTATCAAAAATGTTAATAGTCAACATCACTATTTTAATGGTCAACATTAGTTCTTAACAGTAAAAAACAATATTGCTATAAAAAACTTTTGGGCCAAATTTAGACTAAAACAACTTTTGGTTACCCATTACTCCTGAGTAAAAACTTCTGAAGTTAATTTGTACCTTAAACCTTACTTTTTTTATATGGTAATAGCAACGTTTGTAATATTTCATATACGTCATTTAAATGATAAATAACAGACGCCTAGGCTTCTACTTTAGTTCAGTTCATATTTTTTATTCCAGGTTCACATTAATAATTTTTGCAGTCCCCTATCATGGACTGTAGACCTGTAGTCAGAATTAAGATTTATGTTATTACTAAAAAGGTTTAGTCATCTATGATTTGGGCATAAGTTTACTAGGGATAGAAAGTCTCAAGGGATTTCAATTTTTATGTTTCTGTTTTTCCCTTTAGGAGGATTGTGGGGTGGAGGAGCAGAGCTTAAGCTTTTGAGTTGAAGTGGCTTTTGACGATGGAAAATCTTCCATTTATGCTTTTTTGAAGGTGCCAGCAAAGTTAAATGCAAGTAGACACCTTACCTTAGTGCGAAGCGCAAATGGTTAAAAAAAAGTGCTAAGTTTCCAAATTTATGCCAAAAATAATTAATTTTATCTCATGAGGCAACAGAAATTTCTCCAGGTATTACCAATTAATAGAGAAGCTCATAAACATACCAGGTCTGCAATATTGCTAACACATTCTCCTTTAGCAGTGATGTCACCTATGTTTTCTCCTTTAGCAAAGGCTTTATAAATTGGTGTCCGAGTTGACGTTGATGTTACAGCAGCAACATTCTAAGAGAAAATAATAACAAATGAGTCTGCAAAACTGGCATAGTAGTAAATCATAATCACTCGCTGTAAGAAATCATCAAACCTTTACTACATTAGCAGCACATGCCAAAGGAAGAAATAGATGTGGCACTGCTGCAGTTGCTAATTCAACTCCAGCACCTAACTCCAACAGAAGATCACCTGTAAACCGCAACTGCGACACAAATAACTTTCAGAGAGCAGATTGCAGGGTAGATTATAACTAGATTAACCAGAAGTAATTTAAACCTGCTTTAGGTCATAATCAAACTTCTTTCCTTGCCGAGCATAAATCATCTTTCCAATTCGACCAGCACCATCCTATATTATGACAAACAATTATTCACTCGAATGTCAACAATTGTATAAAAAAGAAGTCCATCTTCAACAAACTTAAAACAATAAAGTACACCATTTGGCATAATAATGCCCACATACAAAATATGGTAAATTAAATTGCACAATATGCCATTGTAGGTATCATATCCATATTGGATGCATATCTGATACAAATATCCATAGCATAAACGCGTGGGACCATCCATTTTTCCCCTTTTGTCCAATGCATTTCAAAATGCTTCAATAGCCACGAGCATTTCAAAACATGACAGAACAGCAATGGAATGCGCTGAAACACATCAAGTCGTCAAAATATATGGAAGTGCTGCGCAATTGAATTCAGAATATTATATGGACTTCAAGATTTCATGGTCCAACACCAGTCCATGTTTCAATTTAGAGGATTTAGCGTATTTTTTGTGTTACACCTCAAGTTGTCAAAATATATGGAAGTTGTACGTTATTGAATTCAGAATATTATATGGATTTCAAAAATTCATGGTCCAACACCTGTCCATGTTTTAATTTAGAGGTTTAGTGTATTTTGTGTGTTGCTGTGTATTTGATTGCATGAATTCAATTTATTTATCAAGATGTATTACTCTGTAAGATGGATTCCAAGAGAGGTTTATGGGTCATCTCAATTTTTTTGCTTTCTTTCTTTTATTAATTTCAAGATTTTGATCTTTTTAAAGTGACAAATTTGTCCAGTGTCTATTATTTGAGAAAGAATTGATTTGATGATTTCACATACAAAATTACACATAGCCTAAAATTTTAGAAATTGTCACAGCTCATATGATATATTTTATCATATCATATATATGTATTTGTATTTGTGCTACATCGATGGTAAGCCCATGTCACTTCTAGACCATATCTTTCCATCATAGAAGTTATTTTGAGGCCCACAAAACAAAGCAATTATAGGGTTGATTATGTGGATATACCTTGAGAATCCAGTTGATAGCTACAGCCCCAGGAGCAGCTCTGTTTCGGGAGACTCCTACTGAACTCAATAGCGTTTGAGTTGTTAATACGCCAATTGCTCCCCCGAAAAAGTGCTGTTAGGAAAAACAATTATTGGTGGTTGAAAAATTAATATTTCCATCAAAATAGCCACAATCCAATCTCAATCTGATACTGATAAAAGTATGACCAGTTAAGCACATTGTATTGATGCAAAACTGCAAGTATTAGGTTCATGAATTTCTAATAATGCCTATTCTGTATGTAACAGACATTGCGGAAGTAAATACCTTCAGAGCTCTCCATGTCATGTACGGCACATATGAAGGTGTAACGCTAGCAGGAAAACCTTCTGGAACAACATAGGATCTCACAAATGACATTAACTCCTGCACCCAAAAACATGTAAGAAAACTTACTTCAATTGAAAAAAAAAAAAAATTGAGGCTCTTCACTTTTTTAGATTTCAGCATAAGGCCTTTTCATCTCTAGATCCAGCAATATTTCTTTATTCCATCATATAAAGTATCAAGAAAATTATTTGTAACTTTCTTTTTTTATCTAGGATTATCACGTTGGTGTACCTTAGGTGAAATGTCAGGGGATTAAACAGCAAGCAACTACATGATAGCCCTTATAACGTCAGAATCAAGTGACCATATCAGTTGTAGTTTAGACACCGCTATAATATATAACATTAAAATCATCTTGCTCGGTCAATTTATACATTTATTAATGGTTTCTCACTTCGCAAACGTCCGTCTTTCTCTCTCTTTCTACCTGTACAATGCCGCAGCAGGACTGGTCTACTTAAATAAAATAACAATAACGTCCATTCAGCTGGCGTGGGAAAATTCCATTCTATACTTCATTCCAGCGACATGTATAATAAGAATATGAATCGATCAAAAACTTAATGCTTCCAGTATGTGAGTACATCTTCCGACATAAAAAAGATTTTTTTTTCTTTTACCCAGTAAGATTGATTATATGCACGGAACAATATTTCCCAGAATTTTGCATATACTTTTTCGAATTCATTCCAATAAACTTATCCCGATCGTATGCTAACTTTGAAGCACTACACAGCTCTTATAATCTCTAAATCTAGACATGTTAAAGGAACTCAATTAAATGTACAACTCCCAGGAAAATGTCATTCTCCGACTTAACAAACCAAATAATGTGAACCAAAAACAATCTGTACTGGCAGCAGTTCAGCATTTACCAAAAGAACGGCTCAATTTGCTCTTCCTATAACAAATATTTTGAACAACACAAAAATAGTTTCAGCCGTCAAGTAATCAGGACTGAAAAGTGTCCAACATATACCGCTTTCCAATAAAACACGTATGATATATACTTACGACCTGCAATCAAGACACAAACCCCACTCTCACGACTATAGAAATGAGTCATTATTATAAAATTTGACAATGAGGTTACTCACATCAACTGGAGCTTGAGGAGTATGCAAGCTAAGTGCGCGAACGGAATTCCTTTTAAAGCCCCCCGAGCCATCGCTCTCCGCCACATACTTCCATCTACGGCCACACATTTCCTCGCAGCAGATCAATCTGAAGCTTGAACCCACAAATTCCTCCCCACCAACAGCGACACCACCGATAATTCTCCTTTGACACTCCGGTTCCACCAACGACGTTGCTTCGGTGGCGGCGGGAGCAGCAGCAACGGTCGGCGGCGAAGCCAAATTAGCACTTATACGCAGCGTTTCGCGCACAAGGACTCGAGCATCCTGAGACGAAGCTATTGCTTGAGAAGTGGAGGAGGCATTAGGCGATTGCTTCAGATTTATGGGAGCCATGGGAGTGAAATCGAAGAGAAAAAAAGCTCAGAATGGCGAGCTAAGAACGAAAATTAGACATAGGCAGAGAAGGGTTGGAACTGGACTTGGATTTATAGAGAAAGAAAAATGATAGCAGCATTGTTTTCATCGAAGGTTTATGAACAAACGGAATGTATCTACGTGAAAGTTCGGTCTCACGCCGTGGACAATGATCTAAGGCAGGTGGCTTGCCTGGCACCGAGACAGAGACACACAGGGAAGAGAGAGAGAGGAAAATTCGGGCCGCCTTCTTTTAGTGAGAGGAAGAGAGGTGCATTAACCGACGTCGTTTAATTGAGGATTCATCCAGGCCGCAAATTCTGAGGTGGGGTCCGCCCCAGAGCCTCAGTGACGTACGACTCAGATATTTTGGGAGAGTGGAGAAAAATGTGATTGACGAGTGTGAACGAATAGGCGCTTACAAAGCCACGTTCTTGTGACTAATAAACGATTAACATTTAGATGCCCACGGGAAAACATATTTTTGGGGAATTAAAACGAAATAAAATGTTATAAAAATAATAAAACCATCCCAATAAATACACATTCATTTTTATTTATAAGTTACTTTCAATATATTTTACACAAACTTTAAATTTATTAATTTTATATTAAAATTTAATAATTTAATAATTTTATTTCTATTTAATATATATTATGCTCCTTCCAATCCTTTTTACAAGATTCTTTTAATCGAATTACATGGTTTAAGAAAATAATTATGATTAGTTAAAAACAATAAATATGTAAAAAATTAAAATTTTTCCAAATATGCATTTATTTAATAAGGGGACAAATAAGATAGAGAAATACCAATAATAAGATAAACAATAAAGGAGAATATAGTGTGAGAAAGAGATGAAGGGAGAGAATACAAAATTAATTAAGGGCAAAATCAATAAAAATAACATTTAATGTTCAAAAAATCCTAAACATGACCTCATAAAAAGGATCAAAATAATTCAAATTTTAAAATCTTATAAAAAGAACTGAAAGAAGCACCACATGAAAACAAAGTCAACTCAACAATAGATGAAAAGTAAAATTTTACATTTATATAAAAAATTTATCTTTTTACCTTATAAATAGAACAAAAAAAGTTTTTCTCTTTCTGTCTTATAAATAAGACTAAAGGAGTAGTATTTAATATGGTTATATATTTAAAAATTAATAATAAAATTATTAATTAAGCTATCACAATCCCTTATTAAGCTATCACAGTCGTTAACTTCACTACGTTAACCCCCCAAAAAAATTGCCCTTCCACATAGCAGAGGAGACCTGCACGCCAGCCCTGTTTTGTCATTTTGAGTATACAATTCACAACCACTATTATTAAAAGAGGTGTGGGATGCCATTTGAGTTATAAGCTCTTGACATGTGTTACAATACTTATAACAATACAAGATTACATTAAAATGTGTTATTACATTTTAGCTCACCGTAATAATTCTTAAAACTCGTTAAGTTTAACAGGGACAAAGGTATGCGGGTCAAAAAAAAAAAAAACAGGGACAAAGGTATGAAAATGCCTCTCAAGTCTACAAATTTCAATTGAAGACCCTAAAAAGAGCTGATCACCATAAAGTTCTTAGTAATTACTTTGAGATTAAAGTTTGCAGTGAAACTACGCATCATACTGCAAAAACAGAAAATTTTGTTAAATTAGTAGTCCTGATTTAGTTGTTGCTAAAGTTTTTATTTATTAAATTGTTGTTGTAATTTTTTTTTCATATTTGAAAATAAGGATATTCAGACTAGTCCCTAAGAGATTTCACAATTAAAGCTGATAATACGAACTAGGCTATCAATTACAAGCCAATCTGCTATAGGTTAGAATCCATGTGGACCAACTCTAAAAGGATTGCCTTTTGGAGAATTAGCATTCGGTCAACTCGAGCTTGCTAGGGGTGGGTCCATCCCCTTCTAATTTTTTTTTTCCATTTTTACATATATATTTTTAAATTTATAAATTAAATTATAAACTTTTATAAAGTAAATCAAAACTTGTAAATATAAACATATAACTCGTTTTTAATAGTTATTTTATTAATATAAAAATGATAAAATAATAAATAACATGAGAAATCAAATTTAGAATCAATGTCTCCAACTAAATACACAACTATATTTGAATTGAGTAAAAATGATAAATTTTTTCATATTAAAATAAAAATTAAAAATTAAAAAATTAATTAAAAAAAAGGGCTAACCCATAGTAAGTTACGGGTTGATAGGTTATAAGATTAAAAGAATCACATTAAAATGAGCTCATATTTTATCAATTCAACCCATCACTTTTGGTGGATTGAACCCGTAGGCTCAATCCTTATTATTACATGTATTTGCAACCATTAGGCCGGCCATTTGGGATCCTAAATTAAAATTTGCATATTTGAAATTATTTTTATATCTTTTTTCCAATTTAATCCTAAAAATTAAATGTAATAAACTTGTTTTAGATATTTTCTTTTTAAAAAAGAAAGAAATAAAGGAGGAGGTTGCAATTTGGGAGCCGTGTGAGATTTGAAAGCGAAATGAAAATCAAGAAAAGATAAAAAGAGGCCGGAGGGAGAACTGTTGATGCGTGCAAATGGTTAATGCATATCCACGTTGAACGATAGATATCTAGACAGATAGATAGACAGGCGATTGCCAGTTTCGTTGCTGTTTTTCCCGGGATGAAAATGGGCCCCACCACTTCTTCAAGGCCGCATTCTTCTAGTCGCTCAACGAGAAACTGTCGCTCTCCAACCTCCGCAGCCACCGTTGGCCCATCAATTTCACAAGCTACTTTCTCCGTCCAAGCTTCCATGCCGTGATAAATGTGTTTTAATCATTTTTAAATTATATTTATTTGTGAGTCTCATGTAGTTAGGAAGAACTTGATCATGAGCTATAATCTTAACGATTTATGAATATTGTTGGGGTTTCTTGTTAGAATTTTTTATTGGGTTAAGATATAACTTTGTTTTGAAAGTTTCATGCAGAAACATTGGCTATCCAATGTTTTTTTTTTATAGACCAATATCACTCCAGAAGTTTTCAAATTGTAACAATACTGTCCCAATTATTATTCAAGTAGCACTGGTAATGCGGACCAATCCCCTAGTTAAGAGCCAGCTTGCCATGGGTTGAAGCCAATGTGGGCTGATTCTAAAAGAACCGCATCCTAGCAGGCTAACATTCAGTCAACTTGAGATCATTAGGGAGGGATTCTTTAAAAAGAAAAATTACATTTTTACATATACTCCAATCTTATTTGAGTTAGACTTGGATTATCATGTAGTATATTCTTTAGTTGACTCTAATATATTGAAAATATACTCCTAGTCAAATCGGACTCATATTCTATCTGAGTTCTGTATTGAAAAAAATTATTTTAACCGATTTAAAGATAACTTTAAAAATGTTTTAAAAAAGTGTTTTTCAAAAATATTTTAGAATGCATTTTATAGCACTCTTTTCAGGAGATCAAAGAAAGATTTGAGACCTAACAAGAAGATTAAGATCAAACATACCAATTTCGAAAAGCTTTAAATACAGTCGACTATTTCATACTCAAGTTTCAGCAGAAAGTGTCATTTAGTGCCCTCACCTACCTTAGATACAAGCTGCAACAGAGGAAAAACTATATGTCTAACGGAGAATATCAAAGTTGGATCACAAATAAAAGATGCGTTGAATAAAGAAGTAAAGAACAAGCAAAGAACAAAAGATTACAAGCTATAAAAAGAACATTTACTACAAACACCGTCAAAGAGAGAGAGAAACACTCCATTATTATAAACTTTCATTTATTGCGTAGAGTTATATGATTCTAAGTGAGATATGCTCTTACAAGTTGTAAGGGGGAGTGATTGCTTTTGGGATAGAGGTGTTGTCTCTATTATAGAGGTGGTTATTATATTATGGCACTAAGAGCTCATTAAATCTTAGGAATATAGTAAAAATCTCAGGTAAAGTTTGGGAACTAGACGCAAGTTAGGTTGGATAAAACCAATGTAAATTGTTGTGGTATTTTTTCTTACCATTCTTTTAAGCGATAGGTGATACATTCTCCCCTCTATTTTGTTTATATTAATTGGATTTAATTGTTTTATTATTATTTGTTAAATTTTTTATAACACCCAATTCACCCTCTCTTTGGTGTTCGACCATACTAACAAAACCTAGTTAACAGCATCTTTTGCCACGTAGGATTATTAGGTGATGACTCAAAGGTGAGTTAGGTATGCTAAGCGTTCATTTATTAAATGGAAAAAAATTAAAGACTGAGTTATAAGTGAGTTAAAAGTTAAGAGAATGAGTCATATTTAGTCATAATTGAGGGATAAATCATAACTGAATTAAAAGTTAAAGATTATTTTTTCCTTATTTTTATTATTTTAATGTTATAGTGAGTTAAACAAGCCAACTCACTCAACTCATAGATCGGCTCCTTTAATTTGGACCTTAAATAATTAGGATACTGTTAAAAGATATCTCCAAAGCAGTACTCAAACTCAACTCACCAAATTAGTGAGTTAGACTGGTTAGCTAGTGGTATTCAACTCATTTTGATGACTTCATATATTTGGGTTATTTAAATTTAATGAGCACTATTTATTTAGGTCAACTAATGACAATTAGATAGAATTTCTTAAAAGAAAAAACTTATTCCTTTTAGTTCCAAATATATGAGCTAGTTAGAAGGTTTATTTTGATCTTAAATATAAGATCTCAATACATTTTGTTTCTCATTAACTGCACATATTAAAGGGTTTACATGAATAAAAAGTTTTGACACAAATAATTAATGGCGAAGAGGCAAATTTACCTATGGTAATATTCAAAAGAAGCACCAGGTACCATAATAAAATATTGAATGCAAAAGTACTTATGATGATTCAAAAGGAGCCCTAAAATGCCACTGCTGTTAAATTGAATAACATTGAAGGTTTAGATAAAATATTTTGACAAAAAATGCTGACAGAGAGGTAGATGCGATAGAATAATATTTGAGTTGGACGAAAAATATAATACCTACCCAATCTTCTCTTCCACTAATTTCCTTGCAAAAAAATAAGAACAATCATCCATAGGAGACTATGACCTCGAATCCCTTGGCTATAATTGAATTGCCATGAAGCTAGATCCAGTAGACTCTAGACCTACTAACAGGTCTTGTTATTAGCTCGC